AAAAAAAAAAAAAAAAAAAAAAAAAAAAAAAAAATAAAAATAAAAATAAAAATAAAACTCTCTGACGCCGTTCGTAAGCTATAATATTCTATGTTCGGTTGCCTGTGCCTCAGGCAATTAAACGTCAAAAATCGGACCTTTAAAAGTGGGAACACACAAAGGCAGTAAGATTGGTGTTCTTTCGAAGGTTATTTATACGTAAATTCATGACGATTTTGATTTTACAACTTGCCAATTTATCATCGAAACCTAATGAATGTATCGCTCAGTGGCGGAGGCAAACCTCAAATTTCGCACAATGGCAATTAAAGCTAAAAACTCTGGTGATCTATTGCAAGAGAGCAGTTTTGTTCGAAACCACACAAACAGCAGCTTGTTATGAGTCTTGTGCTGTGTAACAGCAATACAAAACGCGTACTGTCACGGGGTTGTCTGTGTGTGTTTGTGTGTGTGTCCGCAGTAACTTGTCCGCAACTTTCAACTCGGGAACCACAAGAGCTTGTAGGCCGAAAATTTAGAGGAACGTTCCCCACCCACGTGTGACCCCGCAAATTTAAATTCAGCTTCCTCATACCCGCGGGTAACACGTACGGCCCCGTGAAAGTTTTTTACGGGTAAATTAATATCTCGGGAACCACGGAGTCTAGGAGGCTGAAATTTTAGAGTAATGACCCTCTGCCCACTCTCAACCTTGCTCATTCAAATTCAGCGTTCCCGCGCTCTTGAGTATCACCTACGGCTTCGTGAAAATTTTGGTGGGTAAACTATTAACTCGGGAATCACGGAAAGATATTCACCTTTCAAGGTTTCGAATTCAGCTTTCATGCGCTGGTGCATAAAATTTTTAACTGTTTTCCAATGTCTGAATTATTTTTGCATAGACTAAAGCACAAAATAGTGAAAATCACTAATAGGCAATCGTTCGACAGGCTGAATTGCACAAAACGCATGATCGCACCGGCTAGTCTGGTGCGCGTTGCTATTTATTACCACTGTGCCATACTCGCCAGTATATGCGAGGAGTTAAACATACACGGCAACAATATTTTTTCAACAAAGATATTTTCGGGAGTTTTTTCAAAAGTAAGTGTCGTGTTTTCAGATTACTGCAAAAAAAAGAACGAACTCGATCCCAATCCACTGCTTTGTAAGCGCCCGATATCAATAACGGATTTAATTTTTGCTTAAAATATTCCTCCAGTTTGTCACGATCTTCTTTCGCTTCCACGGCCATGTACGACCTCTCCACATATCTTCTGTAATAGTACAGAGAAAATGATAAATTTCACATCCGTTCTTAAGAATTTTTCTATCTTTTTTCCATATTACGTTATTTCTTCCTTTTCGCCTTCCTTCAATCTTAGTTTTTTAAAAAATCATTAGAAAATTTCATTCTGCAGTTGTGATGCGCTTCAGAAACTTTGCAACCAGAATGAGCAGGAAGCTGCATTTTTTTTGTGAGGATATTCACTGTCCATGTGCGAACTGAGTTTTTGCTTACGCATGCATCCAGCCGATGCTTTGAAACGTAAAAAACTGTAAGAAGTGAAAAGAAAACAATAAAACGAAGCCCGAACCTAACAGCATCCGGTATATTCGATTCCAATGAAGAAGATGCTGACGATTGGTCCTGATGAAAAACTGCTGGAGCTGCTTCTGTATTCACAAGTCGTGGACGATTTATTGAAAATCGCACTGGATGCTGCTGCTGCTGTTGCTGTCGCTGCTGCTGTTGCTGCAAATGATTGTGCTGACTGCTGTTGCTGGGTGGCTGGCTGCCGAAGAAGCCGTAATGTTGTCTGGGAGGTGTTTGCTGAGGAGCACCATTGGATGCGGCTGCTGACCAGGGGTTGACGAAATTCGGACGATAGCCACCGGGTAATGCAGCGGGGGGTGGTGGAGGCGCCGATGATGGTGGTGGCGGGGGCAGTGGTGGTGGTGGCGGTGGTTGCACTCGACCTTGCTGCTGCTGCTGCTGCTGCAGTTGTTGCTGCTGCTGTTGCTGCTGCAGCTG